AGATTCTGGCAGACTGCTTAAGCTTGCAATAAATCTTTATACTCATTTGAACTGCCTGGATTATCCGGATTCCCCCAGTGTTTGGCGGTCATCTTCCGTAAATCAGAACATGCAAAAAGATGGTTTAGGGCCAAGCGCCAGCGTGCACCGTTTTTCTGGAAATACAAGGTAGTGCCCGATTTACGACTACAATTGAGGCCAACATTTATGTTGCTAAGTGAAACAGTTTGTTAAGTGAGTTTTGCCCATTTTATTATCTCTCTTGCCACCGCCATTAAGTGAATCACTGCAGTGGTTAACTTCGGCCACTTGGTTGTTAAGCGAATCCGGCTTCTCGTTTGACTTTGTTCATCGAAAGGTCGCCAAAGGGGATGGCGTGACCTCCAGGAACATGGCAAAACCGTCGTAAATATGAGTCGGTTGCCAAGCGGCTGAATTTTGATCACGTGACCACAGGGAATGCTGGAATGGTTGTAAGAGCGAACCACAGTCCTAAGTCCCTTTTTTCAGCGCCGTCGTAACTTCAAATGATCGCTCAATGAACCCAGGTAAAGGTTCCCCTCACACATCCGTGCTAGTCGTTTCCAGCTCTAGGGGGCGCTTCTCGTCTCCGTTGCAAAGCCGAACAGCCAGTGCTGTCCGCAGACGTCTCCGTGGTCATGTGGCCGGCAGGACTCAACGCCTTCGAAGGCGCATGGAGGGACGCTGTTCCCTTCCCTGTTTTTCTACTTGCATTTTTACATGCTTTCGAACTGCTAGGTTGGCAGAAGCTGCTGGGACAAGGAACGGGAGCTCACTCCGTGACACACGGCGCTGATCGACAAGCTCAGGGTCTTAGCCCACTGAGCCACCGCGTCCCAATGTCCCCAGTGAGCTGAGGGCTACCTGTTCAACCGCAAAGATGGGCCGGCATGGTTTTGGGAGAATATCTCCCCTTTCCGGCTCCTTCAACTTCGACGCAACCCTTACGTTGAACTCTCTGGATTTTTCACAGAAGGAGAGCACCAGACCTTCTGCGCGAGTCATCTGCCTTGCCAAGGTTAATTCGCTTTAATCCCATTTAAAGCCAATGAAAGAAAATTGAATTGTTGCTTTGATTTCTTTTTCTTTTATTTAAAATAAAGGCCTGGCTTTTCTGGCCGGAAGCTTCCAGCATGCTATTGGAAGTCCAGACTAGAATCAGTGCTTGGAGCTGTGGGTCAAAGTACCGTTTCCGCCTGTTGCTGCTTCTCCTGCCTTCAGGAAATGCTTTGGGGGATACGTGGACCCCTCTTCTTCGTGGCAGCCCCTCAGGTGCCGACTGCGAAGTCAAAGCCTTCGATCCCTGCTGTGGTTCAGGATCCAGGCCAATGTTTCTCCAGCTTGGCACTTGAAGAGGTGTGAACTTCGACTCCCAGAGTCCCCCAGCCAGTGAGGGGGAATTCTGGGAACTGAAGTCCACCCATCTTCAGATTGCCAAGGTGGAGAATCATTGATTCAGACACAGCCTAGCAGAGGTGATATTGTACACTGAAAGGCCGGTTGCTTCCTGCCTTAAATTAAGATGCACCTCGCTCCTTTTGGCACTAGACACATCAAAAATATGCCTAACTGGCCCCTCCTCCCATTTCTCAGCTGACTAATATTTCTACTTGTTGGAAAAAAAACGCATACTGTATTTCTCTGTTTGGATAAACCTTTTTTTTTTTTTTTTTGGTTATTTTTTTTCTGTCTCATATGAAGGAGCTCACCCATCCCTCCCCCAAGGAAAAATGCAGACTTGTGGCCTGGATCCAGCTAGTTTTGTCTCTCATAAGAGATCTCGAGAGCGGGTTTTTAAGAGGATTCTGAACAGGAGGAAATCGTTGCTTCTTTTTCTTTTTAAAAAAATCTCCCATCGTTTAAAAATAGCAAATAAAATAACGTTGAACACAAATTACCTACTAAGGATTGGAGAGCCGGTTTGCTGTAGCCGTTAAGGGTCATGCTAGAAACAAGGAGACCCTGGGTTGTAATCCTGACCCAGGCCCAAGGCCAAGTGGGTCACAAGGAGGAGGAAGGGGGTCAAGCTGTTTTCCAAAGCCCCTGAAGGCCAGGCAAGGAATGACGGATGGAAAATGATTCAAGGAGAGATTCAACCTGGAAATAAGGAGGAATTTCCTGACAGGGAGAACCATCAACCCATGGAACAGAAATTGCCTTCGGAAGTGGTGGGAGCTTCTTCATCCCTGGAGGCTTTCAAGAAGGGACTGGATGGCCATCTGTCAGGAATGGTGTAGGGTCTCCTGCTTGGGCAAGGGGTTGGACTAGATGACCTACAAGGTCCCTTCCAACTCTTGTTAATCGGTAAAGGATATTGAGACTCTAGAAAGAGGGCAGAGAAGAACAACCAGGATGACTGGAGGGGACTGGAGGCTAAAACACATGAAGAATGGTTGCAGGAACCGGGCTTGGCTAGTCTAGGGAAGAAGAGAAGGGCCAGGGGAGACAGGAGAGCCGCCTTCCAGCGTTTGAAGGGCTGCCCCAGAGAGAGGAAGGAGTCAAGCTATTCTCCAAAGCACCCAAAGGCCAGACAAGGAAGCATGGATGGAAACTGAACAAGGAGAGATTCAACCTGGAAATAAGGAGAAACTTCCGGACAGTGAGAACAATCCACCCAAATGTAGGACTTTTACTTTTCTCTACATTGAAAATCACTTTGTTAGATAGGGCTCAATGTCCACTTCCAGCTTCCAGTCCCCTCATCTGGCCCCGAAGAACCTTTTCCTGCATCCAGAGGGACAGAGAGAGGAAGCCAACCCCAAAATCGGGGGCTCCTACCCCCCCCCCACCCCTCCTTTCCCCAAAGCCCTCCAGATACTCCCTCAACGATGTAAAACGCGATGCTTAGCATTCTTCTCGCAACCCTCGTTCGCAACACAAGTCCGTCCAACCGAGAATTATTTCGAGGCTAGTTTCTGTGGCAACCAGCTGGAGAAGTCCTGGAGACCGCAGGAAGAAACCACCGTTTGTTTTGGTGTGTGTGTGCTTCCCCCCCCACCCAAAATAAATAAATAAATAAATAAAGGAGGGGAAGCTACTGTATTTTGAGTTTCCCTTAAAAAAGAAAGAAAGAAAAGACCGAGGATACGACTTCCTCTCCTCCCTAAACTTCGTTCCTGTTTCCTAAACGTTTATTTTTACCCTAAAGCAATTTGATGAGCAGAGTCGATCAAAAAGAGATTTCAGCTGCCTGGTTTGCTCTCCCTCCTGTGTGCAGGAAGAGACGGGTTTTTAGAGACGGGAGCGCTAACGAATTGATTTGTTTCCGACTCAGGTAGGCCTCAACTTCCAAAGCATTTGCTTAGGGACCATTCAAAGTTACAACGGCACTGAAAAAGGGGACTTAACGGCCGTTACGGCCATTGGAGCATATTTGACTCCTATTTACGACGGTCGCAGTGTCTGGGGGGGGGTCACGTGACCTTCTGACAAGCAGAGGGAACTGGGAAGCCGGATTCACTGAACGACTGTGCTACTCACTTAATGAGGGTGGCGATTCGCTTAACAGCCGGGGCAAGAAAGGTTATAAAATGGGGCAAAACTGACATAGCAACTATCTCGCTGAGTGGCGGAAATTTGGGGCACATTTGTGGTTATAAGGACTACCTGCAAAACAATGACCGATGCTCAGCTGTTTTTCTGGCCAAGTTCCTCTTCTTGCCACTCACACAGACCGGCGACCATTTGCTTCTTCGGAAGGCAGATCATGTTGCCAAGCAAAATTCTTCTTCTGTTGCTGCTGTTATTACGATTGTTACTACAATTATTATTACCACCCAGTGAGAGGGAAAGGCCAAAAAAGGGAGAAATCTGTAGGGTCTTTGGTGCTCTCTGAGCTTGGTTGTTTTCTGGCAGGCGTTTTATTACCCAGCTAGATAACATCATCAGTGCCAGTGAGTGTTGATTTTGCTCCCTAGTTAGGCATGGAGGGTGTGGTTTTCTGCTTGGTAGTTCGTTGATCAGGGTATTGTTTTCCGCCTGGTTCGTCTGGTGTGAATCCCTGCTTATCTGTATATGAACTATATAGAATCCAAGAGCAACTCCTACACTCTCTAACATGGATGATGTTACCTAGTTGGGCAATGAAACCTCTGCAAGAAATCAAGCTCAGAGATCACCACGGGCCCCACAGCCTGCCCCTTCCTCCACTGTGCAGACTTCTCTCCCTTCTAGCACTGATGATGTTACCCTGTTGGGTCATGAAACGTCTGCAAGGAAACCACCAAGGACTCTGCAATTCACCACCCTGAGCTGCAAATATTCTCTCCTATTCATAGAGAGGCATCTTGTTTGCGTGGGATATTTCCTCTGAGGGGCTTGGGGGCTCTGAAAAATGCTTGTAGCCCGAGCCCAGTTTTCCAAACATGATTGCAGACTTTGTGCAGAGGCTAATTTCTTAGAAGACATTGGGGTCTTCGCCCCCACTGCCACCCCTCTGGTGGCGAGAGAGGGAGGGAGGGAAGAGAGAACAGAAAGAGGGAGAGAGAAAGAGAGGGAAGAGAGAGACAGAAAAGAGAGAAAGGCAGAGAGGAGGGAGGGAGGGGAGAGAGAGAGAGAGAGATTGCCCAATGCAATTACAAGGCATTGTCTGTCTCGGCAACCTTTCCCCGCTGATCCTCCTGCCGTGACTGAAGATTTAATGGCAGCACCGTAGCCCTCCCGCTTCCCCTCAGAGCCCTTTTGGTGTCCATCACTTCCCCTTCCACACACACACACACCCCACCCTCCATTCCTCCCCTTTCATTCAAGAAGACAGCCGGGAGAGGAGGAGGATTTGCCCCCCCACCGCACCCACCCCAGGGATGAAGCTGGCTGCTGAAAGGCGGGACTGAGGAAGCCCCCCCCCCCACACTCCTGAGGACAGGGGAGGAAGGGGTTTTTCTTTTTAAACAAGCCCCAAGTCTTCCCTCTTTCTGCCTCTCCCAATCGCCGAGAGGGGCCAGTTAGCGATGTCTACTAATGAAGCAATTCTATTCCAGTTCCGTCTCCGAAGATCTGGGCTGCAGACGGGGAGAATTCAGCAGGAAGCATTACGGTTCAGTAGAGCTGGTAAGTTTGGCTTTTCCTCCTCCTCCTCTTCCTCCTCCTCGTGATGGTGATGATGGTGGTGGTGTTTTTTTTTTTAAAGGGTTCAAATCCAGAGGTTTTGGGAGGAGCCCCCCTCCCTCAAAGGTGTTTGGGGGGGGGTGCCTTTCCCAGCACCTCTTTTCTTGCAATTGCAGTCGGTTTTTCCGGCCTGCCTGCCTTTCCGTTGGATGCAGGGATCCCCTCTTTGCAGCGCTTGACGGAGGGGAAACGTCTCTGTTTACCTCCCGAGCCCTCCGATTTTATTGGGTTTTATTGCTTTATCTGCCGGAGAAGCCTCGGTTTTATTTTTTCTTTCCTTACTGTAGAAAGGGGCAAAATGCAACATCGGTCCAAAGGGGGGTTGCATTGAAAAAAAGAAGACCGAAAAGGGAAAAAAAAAACACCAAGCCCCAGAAATTGAGGGGATGAGGGGTGTTTGGGAAATCAAGATTAAACGTGGTAGCTGGGAAGGTTCCCCCCTCCCCCCCCTGAATTCCTCTTCTTTGGGGGGGGGGGCTGCGTATTCCTTCCATCACCGCCCGTTTCATTTTGCAGGAACCGATTTCCTGCTTTGGTTTTGGAGCCTGGAGAGGCCGGTAGAAGTTGGTTCTGGAGAGAGAGAGAGATCGGGGGGGGGGGGGGGGGGGGGGGCGCAGAGGCCCCCGCCCTGAATTTGGTGTGTGGGCAACACCTGCAACGTTTCATGGCTGGAGCATCTGGGGGCATCCAGGGCTAAGAAAGGGGTGGGTTATTATGGCCCTGCAGCCTCTTCCTGGGGCTGGCAGGGGGGCTGGAAACCTGGTTTAATTGGAGATGATGATTTGACAGAAAGCGGTGGGCAAATAGTGGGGCGCCTACGAAAGGGAATCGCGTTTTCTCCTCCTTTAACCTGGCTTCTTGTAGAGGAATGTATTGGGAAGGTGGCCTTCCTCCTCCTCCTCCTCTCCTCCACTTTCTCTTCCTCCTCCTTGCTCTTCCTCCTTCCTCCTCCTCCCCTCTTCTTCCCTCTTCTGGACTTTTTTGGATTCTTCTCCATCTTCTTTTTTCTTTCTTCGTGTCCCAGCTTTTACTTCAGGGGGGAACTCAGCAATTCCCTGGTCCTAGTAAAGCGAGAAGAAGGTTGGCTTTCCATTGGCCACGTTACACTAAGCCAGCTCACCCCCAGGTCCTGCCAATCGTGGCTGTGCACAACCCGTAGAGACACACCGAGTTGTGTTCCTTCGGTCCACTCCTTCATGTCGCGAGGCATGTCCTGGTTGCACAGAGCAACTTGAAGGGCCCTTTGCCTCGTCTGGTTCTCCCGGTTTTCCTCAGGGCTCGAGAACTGGACTTCACACCTCGGTGCGTTGTGTAAACATGGCCGGGACTGATGTCTCCAAGAAACCCAAACCAGCTCAGGCTAAGCACAAGAGGCGACTTGGTGAATGTGCGGCCTTAAATGATCTGAAAGGGAGGCAGAGGAGCCTTTCTGACTCACTCTGGTCGCCCCATCCGCCCTGGTGATCTTCCCTTCTGCGACTTTGAAGGGCAGAGTGGTTGTGCACAATCTTTTCAGGTTGAAACGGAATAACAGAGTTGGAAGGGACCTTGTAGGTCATCTAGTCCAACCCCCCTCCGCCCAAGCAGGAGATCCTACCCCATTTCTGACCAATGGCTTTTCTTGAAATGAAGCTCCCACGCCTGGCAGATCCCTATTGAAGGACCCAACTCTGCCAGCTCCATTCCAGCCCCCATCGGGGGTCGTTGAGGAGACGGGGAGGGACCACCAGGTCCACCATGATGCCTTGGTGACAAACCCCCTAAGCTGTGCCTGAAAGGAGCAGGATGGGCGGCCAATGGCTTCCCAGGGCAGAGATCTGTTTTAGACCCCCATTGTGGGAGGAGCCAAGAGGGGCGGGGCGGGGGCAGGTAGTGGGTGGAGCCATCCCCCAAAGGGGTGGGAACATGTGCCTTTTTTATCCCTCTTCTAGCCTGGGAGCTAAGAGCTGGATGGGGGACCCTTTGGCTCTTACAAGCGGAAAATGTTCACCCCTCTTTTTATGGATTTGAAAGCCCTGATCCATCTGCACTCATCCATTCACATGACATAGTCTACCTGGATGTTAGGATGGACAGCCGCTTCTACCATCCCATTTTATTCTGTCTTTCTCAAGGGTGCCCAAGCTAAATATGTCAGTTTAACCCCCACGGTTTCACTTTGAGAACACCATATGCCGTTTTCTTGAGACCAGTTCTCCCAGTAATCCAGGTTTTGGAAAGTCTCAGTCAGACCCTCTACCCTCCCCATGCCTCCCCCTTTTTTTTTAGCTTGTGTAGTCCTCGGGGAGGAGGTCACAACTATGTCGCCTACATAATTTGAGGTAGTTGTGAAAATCACAAACAACCACAAAGGACCTAAATATTTCAGCATTGACACGTACTTGAAGAGCTTTCTTCTCTCCCACCTTCTTCCTTCCTTCCTTCCTTCCTTCCATCCTTTCTTCCTTCCTCCCTCCCTCCCTTTTTTCCTTCCTTCCCCCTTCCCTCTCCCTCCTCCCTCCCTCCTTTCCTTCCTCTTTCACTTTACTCTCTTCTTCCTTTCCTCCCTCCCTCCTTTTCCTTCTTTCTTTCTTTCCTTCCTTTTTCTTCTTCCCTCCCTCCCTCCTTCCTTCTTTCCTCCCTTCCCTCCCTTCCCTTCCCTCCCTCAGTCTACGAAACAGATGACCTGACCCCACCATAAACGTGTGCAAGGAAACTAAAATGAAACTCATCCCCTTGAGTTTAAATTTAAACCCGCCGGTTTCAAGCAAAATTTAATCCCGCAGCTTTGAAATACAAGCAACAGGTTTGAAACAAAAAAACAAAACAAAACTTCATCAAACGGTATAATCAAAGTATTTGTGGAGTAGCTGGATTTAAATGGTTCCTTCCCGTTGACAGCTGCTTGGGGGGTTGAGGGGGGCTAACAATGGAATAAAAACAACTAAAAAAAAGAGAAGACAAAACATATATTGAAAGCCTGATAAGAGAAAGCAGTCAGTTTCCCCATCCCAACAAAAGGTGTGCTCGGAGCAAATTCCGAACCCGCTGCTGCTTTCGGCTTCCTTTGGTTTAAAGTTTGCCCAGCTGTCTTAACCAGGGTTTGCCTTCAGCCAAGTTTTGAAACGATCACAAGCTCTGAGGACATGCCAGGAGCCATCAGTTGCCACTTGGCTGTAGCTCTGCCCACTGGTCCAGCTGGCATAAAAATGGGCAAGCTCAATTCACAAATCTACAGAGGAGAGCCTAGGCATAATGGAGCAATGGAGCTTCTAGCTGCAGGGGCAGTACATTTTAGGGAGGAAGCTGTCCAAGAGGGGAAGGCAAGGGACAGTCCTTGTCTTACGGCTGTAATTGGGACCAGACCTTTCATTGCAAAGCAGAGTGATTGCTGAGTCATGTCTGATTTTACGACCTTTTTTTGCCATGATCGTTAAGTGAGTCACTGTGGAGGAGGAGGAGGAGGACTGGGGGATGCTTAATGTCCTATGAGCTTGGCCGTTTTCTTGCAGACGTTTCATGACCCAGCTAGGTAACATCATCCGTGCTAGAAGGGGGTGGGGTTTGAACCAACTCCGTTATTCTGTGCTTCGTGTTCTGCATAACATTTCACAACCGCAGGACATTCGTGGCCCAATGAAGCCAGAGAATCCTTGAGGGAAGCGTAGAAGAAGGATTCATTCTGCTTCTGGATCAGCCTCCTTTGCAGAACTACCTCCCCCCGGGCGATCTCTCTCCCGCATTGCCCCACAAACGATTCCCCGGGAACCGGTTTTTTCTTCTTCTCCTTGTTGCCTGTTTTATCTCCGGCAATCGAAGCGGCCTCATTAGAGCTCAGCATCTTAGAAGCCAGGAAGACATTTGAAAAGATCTCGCCCAGAGAGGCTCTTTCAGTTTTTCCTGTCCTGGGAGAAAGGAAAAACACGGCCCAGAGGATGTCTGCCTCCGTCTGAAAGGCTTCTGGCTTATTTCCTTTTATTTATTCATTTATTTGGAAAGGCCGGGCCTTTCAGGATGTCATCTCCAATTCAATAAGCTAAAAATTGGATTGCATTTGCTATCCATCTCGTCTCGGGCGCTTGGCAGGGTCTAGCCAGCCAGGGCAGTGATGATGGCGAACCTATTCGGCACCGGGTGTGTGCATGTGTGTGTGAGCTGGATCACCAGAACCCCAAAGACCAGCTGGCCAGTGCGGGCATGTCTAGTTTTGGGACATTTTGGGGGGCATTTTCCGTGCCATTTTTGGCCTGAAAAATGCCCTGGGTTTTGGCCATTTTCAGGCTATTTTCAGGCCATTTTCCAGCACTCCGGTGCCCACAATGACCAGCTGGCCAGTGCATGCATGCCTGGTTTTTTGGCTGTTTTGGGGGCTGTTTTCAGGACATTTTTCGAGCCACTTTCTGGTGCTCTGGTGCCCGCAAAGACCAGCTGGCCGGCATGCCAGAAACCGGAAGAGTAGCTGACAATGGTGCACATGCCCACACGGAAGGCTCTGTGTGCCACCTCTGGCACGCTTGCCATAGGTTTGCCATCACAGAGCTAGGGCATCCAACCCCGGATCTCCACGAAACATCTCCCCCACCACCACACACACACATGGATGTATCCCCGGAGCCAAACGTCCCATTTCTGCCCCACCCTCCTTCCCTTCAACAGCTGTCTTGACACGACAGTCCTTTGATTCCGCTGCTGGGCCAGGAAACGCTCTGGGTTCCTGTTTGAATTGGCAGAGTGTATTTATTTGGCAAGCCTTAAAGATCAACAAGAGAGAGACAGGGGGAAAAAAGGGGAGGGGGATATCTAACTCTTTCAACGCCAAAGGCACAACAGTAGTCACAGGAATCTAGGGAAATGAACTGGGAACTGGAGCTGAATTGTTCGCAGGGTGAAATCCGTAGCTTTCTACAGGTAGACCTGGGTTTGCAACGGTTCATGTAGAAATTCAAATGCTTGGCAACTGGCATGTCCTTACACCAGTTGCAGTGTTCCCAGGGCCACGCGATCCCCTTTTGCGACCTTCAGATTAGCCAAACACAAAGGGAGGAAGCCAGATTCGCTTAACGACCGTGTTACTGATTTAACAACGGCCGGCGACTCGCTTAACAAGCGTGGCAGGAAAGGTCATAAAATGAGGCCGAAGGAAGACAACACCTTGCTTGGTGACCCGTGTCTCACTTAGTGGACAAACTTCGGGGACACGGTTGCAATCGTAAGTCAAGGACTACCTGTACAGCTTTAAAGAACTTTCTTTGGAGAAGCACACAAGGCTCTTTCGCTGGGTTTTTAAGGCTTTCTTGGGGTTTTTTTAGACCTTCAAAACCGCCCTTCCCAGAAAGATATCGCTCTCAATTTTATTTTTTTGTTATTTGTACATGATGTTCCTTCCTTTTGGGGGGGTTGGGGGAGAGGAGAAAAGCTCTTAGTTTTATTGCCTTTCGGCTTACGAAGGAGCTAATTTATTCACTGATGTGGCACTTTGACATTCGGGGCTGAAAAGGAGAGAAAAGGAGGCACAGATTTTAAATTAGAAACTCACGTCGCCCTCTTGCCATGCTCAATGAGATTTTGGGCCCTGCTGAATTGGGTAAGGCTTACTCCGAAGTAAATAATACTTGGTGCTGAAAGAAATAATACTCTGCAGTGATGGTGTTGCTCTATATTACCTTGGTAAGACCATACTTGGAATTCAGTGTCCAGTTCTGGCCACCATGATACCAGAAAGATGTTGAGACTCTAGAAAGAGTGCGGAGAAGAGCCACCAAGAGGGTTGGGCGGCTGGAGGATGAAACATAGGAAGAATGCAATAATGGCGAATATCTGTAGTTCGGGGGTAGGATGAGGGCGGAGGTTCATCCTCCGAACTTGTCGGTTGGTTTCCGAACGTTTCATTACCAAGCTAGGTAACATCTTCAGTGCAGATGGATGACAGGGGGTGAAAGTGTCATTCTTCTGTTTATAGGGGCTTATAAAGGATGATAGATCAAGAGGGGAGGGAGGGAGATGGGTGGAGAGAGAGAGAGAAAGAAAAAGAAAAAGAAAGAAAGAAAAGAAAGAAAGAAAGAAAGAAAGAAAGAAAGAAAGAAAGAAAGAAAGAAAGAAAGAAAGAAACTATTTTAGTGTATAATAATAGGTGTTGTGCTGTGTTTTGCGAGCTTCTAAGGACCCCGTCATGGAGGACTGATTCAACTAAGCTGGGCACAATGGCCAGCCATACTTCTGCGTGTGCTTGTGAGAAGGATCATCTTCTATATTTAGAGCATTATTAAGAGGTTTCCTCCTTTTTTTAAAAAAATGAGATAGCTGTAGCACTCCTTCTTTGCCATAGGCCTCAACTGGGAACAAGAATGCTGTTTCCAGAAAAAGAAAAGAAAAAAGAATTCAAGCGATTGAAATTCTTATACAGTCATTAAAAAGGCTATTTTCCCCCCTGTATTCTTCTCCTCTTTCTCCATCACTCCGTCTTCTCCTTGTCTTTCTTCCTCTTCCCTCTCTTTCCACCATTCCTTTTTTTCTTTTCTTTTTCTTTCTCCTTCTCCTTCCCCTTCTCCTTCTCCTTCTTTTTCTCTTTCTTGTCCTCCTTATCTATCTTCTCCGTTTCCTTCCCTTCCCCTTCTTCTTGTCCTCCTTCCTTTCTACCATTATTTCTCCTTTTCTTTTTCCTTCTGCTTCTCCTTCTTCTTGTCCTCCTTCCTTCCTTCCTTCCTTCCTTCCTCCTCCTCCAGAATCGTTTGGCTAGCTCTATAGCAAACACGAAAAGCATTTTAGAGTTAGACAGCAGAGGAATTATCCGAAGGGTGGCAGGCTGGACACGTCAGTTCCACGAATCCCTTCTGTACTCTAGTTCCTCCGATGGGCTGAAAGCTCAGGTGTTTCCTTGGCTTTACTCCCTTCGTCTGCCTTGCGGTGGTTCTGAGGCGGTCCTTTTAACCCCCTGCCGTCTCCTCTGGACACAGCCAAAGACGAACAAAAGCTCCTCGAAGATACACCATCCATTTCTTTTTTCCTCCGTCCAAGTCAAACCAAGCCTTGCTCTGTTTGTGTGCAGCCTTTCCTGGCAGCTCTCGAAGCCTCAGCGTGCTTTGGAGCTCAGCGATGTTGAAATAACGCAATTTCCAGTTGAGATCAGGTCTTGAGGGTGATGGAAACCAGATGCTAGATGGCCTTTGAATGTGGGGGTTTATTTATTTATTTATTTCCCTCCTCCTCTCTTGGCACACTGATCCACATATTCACTGTTATGACAGAGCAGGCCTAATTCCATTAACATCTATTTACTTTTTAGCATCTCGAGTACAGGGAAGGGCTGACGATGGCTGAGAAGCTTGGAGGCTGTGTGAGTGTGTGTGTGTGTGTGTGTGTGTGTGTGAGAGAGAGAGAGACAGAGAGAGAATGAAAGAGAAAGAGAGGAGAGAGAGACAGAATGAGAGAGGTAGAGAATGAGACAGAATGAAAGAGAGTGTGAGAGAATGGAACAAGAGAAAGAGAGAGAAAAAGAAAGTATGAGAAAGAGAAAGAAAGAATGAGAGTGAGTATGAGAGAAAGAGAATGAGAATGAGAGCCAAAAGAGAGAAAGGGAGAGAAAGAGAAAGAAATAGAGTATGAGAGAAAGAGAAGAAGGAGAAAGGGAATGAGAATGAGAGACAAAAGAGGGAGAAAAAGAGAGAGAGAATGAGAGAGAAAGAGAGAGGGAAGAGAATGAGAGACAGAGAGAATGTGTGTGAGAAAGAGGAGAGAAGAGAGAGAATGAGAAAGAGAGAGAGACAGAGAGCTTGTCCAGACCAAACTTCCTTCTTTCAACTGGTCCATGGAGGCAATTTGGCAAAAGTCACCTCCCTCTGGATCGATCTTCAAACAGTAAATTGCTATTTTATTTTATTTCAAAAAAAAAAAAACAACGTCCAGCTCACTGGATGCCTCTTAGAACAGGGGAACGGCTGCTTTCCAGCTGGGTGGAAAGTCAACACCAATTGTGACCAGAGGATGTTGCGTCCATCCTAAATGTGATCAAATGCCCAAACTGCAGTCATATATGACCGTGGGGACACTGGGTCAGTCATAAGCGCGAGGACAGGCTGTAAACCACTTCTTTCTTCGTTGCCACTGTGAGTTCAAACAGTCGCTAAACAAGTAGCCATTAAGTGAGGACTAGCTGTCCCGGGTCTTGGTGGGGAAACGCCGCTGTCCTAGGTGCTGAATAAAGAGCTCTTATTGGCACAAGCAGTGTTGCTCTTCACTCAGCAAAACACAGAGGTCTTGTGAATAATGCCGGCCTATTCCAAAACAGTTGTGTGGTATGCAACCTTTCGCTTCCACGTCATAAAGGGACCGGATACAATATAAAATTATATTGTATCCGGTCCTTTTTGCTCAAAGGTTTTGGTGCAGCCACTCTTCCACCCATTTTTCTCCCGAGTTGCACCACCTCTCAATCAACCAGAGAATAGGGAGAATCATCTTACCATAGGGATCTTTATTTTTATTTATTTTTATTCTTATTTTTGTTTCTATTTATTTATTTATACATTTTTATTGACCCCCTATCTTACCATAGGTTTTTTTTTAATTTATTCTGATTCTGATTTACTTATTTACCTATTTACTTACTTATCTATAAAATTTATTGGCCACCTTTCTTGCCATAGGGGTTTTTATTGATTCTGATTTATTTATTTGTTTGTTTATCTATCTACTTATTTATTTATAAACAAAAGAAAAAAAGGGAAAAAAAAACAAGAAAAGTCCAGTTGCCTTTTGGAAAAGCGTCCAAAACGGTTTAGAACCCATCTAGCTTCCCTCTCCTCCCTCCAGGATGGTTGTCAATTGGCGTTTTTGGTGGGAAGTAGCTAAAGAACTGGACCTTGGACGAGACGGATCACGCTAACATGCATTTCCTCTTTGCTGTGCAGCTTATCTCCAGCGATGCTGATGGAGCCATTCAAAGGGCTGGCCGGTTCCGAGTGGAAAATGGCTCGGTTGATGAGGTGAGTGGAAACCTTCCTCCACTGATGAAGAGTGTTGGCTTTGTGTCTAGCAGGGCGGGCAGGTGAGGGAGAAGACACCATGCTTCTTCTCACTGTCCCTCTAGGGTCTCCCAGGTGGCCATCTTCCAAACGAGACTTGCATTTGGGTGGGGACTCGAATCTCCAGGTTGCAGGCTCAACAGGGTGTTTAGAATAGAATAGAGCTGGAAGGGACTTTGGAGGTCCTCTAGTCCAACCCCTGCTCAAGCAGGAGATCCTATACCACTTTAGACAAGTGGCTGTCCAGGCTCTTCTTAAAAACCTTTAGTGTTGGAGCCTTTCGCAACTTCTGGAGGCAAGGAGTTCCACTGGCTAATTGTCCTCCCTGTTAGGAAATTCCTCCTTAATTCCAGGTTGCTTCTCTCCTGGATCAGTTTCCATCCATTGTTTCTTGGTCCCAGTTGGTCTCGCTCTGTGGGAGAGTCCTTCCCAGTTCCTCTTTTCTATTTCAGAACGCCGATTACACTCCCGGGACGTGGCACAGAACGGATGTCCACTTGGAGAACCCGGGCTATCACACCAGATGGTACTTCAAGTATTTTCTAGGAAAAGGTAGTGATGCTTTATGGGGTGTGGGCACGCATGACACGTCGGTGGTTTAGAAGCAGGGCTGAATGAAAGGAATGGTGGCGCAGTGGTTAGGGTGCAGCGTGGCAGGCTAATTCTGCATTCCACTGCCAGGAGTTCGATTCTTGATGGGGCTCAAGGTTGACTCCGCATTCTGTCTTTCCGAGATTGGTACAAGGAGGAGCCCGATTGTTGGGGGCAATTGGCTGACTCTGTAAACTGCATAGAGAGGGCTGTAAAAGCTCTGTGAAGCAGTATATCATTCTATTCCATTCCATTCCATTCCATTTTCTATTCTATTCTATTCTATTCTATTCTATTCTATTCTATTGCATTATTTAATTTTCACTGAAATGAAAATCAAAGGAAGAGAGTCTCATTATTATTATTTTTCCCCATCTCTCTTTGTCCTGGCCTCCAGCTTATTTCTTCAACATGTGTTGCAAGCCATTTTTGGGGTGGGGGGGAGAAACCCCTGAAGTTGGTATGGGAAGTGTCAGAGTATATTCATGAACTGGAATAGAGCTTGGTAACAAGGTCAGCCAATGAGAACTGTTTTTGGAAACTGAAACTAGAAGTAGCCAAGGCTGGAAACTGAAACTAGAAGTAGCCAAGGCT